CCTCATGCCACAACAGCGTTTGGATGCATCGTGGCCATTACTTCGGCTACGCCAGAAAAGGGCAAAACTTTAACCACGCCCATGTACTATTATGCTTATTCCCTACCTAGGCTCTGCCCAGAAGGGTTCTTACCCTGCATGCTTAAAGGGCCGGGCAGTGCTCCCCGCCCCGGGCGGTTCCCCCAGGATCCGCCCCGCGGCTCCCCCAGTGACGTTCCGTTAGCTTAGCGTTGCTTATCTCATCTTAGCGTAGCCTAGCTTACCTTAGCTTAGTTTAGCTTAGCCTAGCCTAGCCTAGCTTAGCTCAGCTCAGCTTAGCGCAGCATTATCATAACATAGCATATCATATCATATCAGATCATTACATCGCATATCATAGCATAGCGCAGCATAACATAGCATAGCATATCATAACGCAGCATAACATAGCATATCAAACCATACCATAGTTTAGGTTAGCATAGCACCGCGCAGCATATCATAGCATAGTATCGCATAGTGCAGCATAGTGTAGCATAGCATAGCATAGCATAGCATAGCGCAGCATAGCATAGCATAGCATAGCATAGCATAGCATAGCGCAGCATAGCATATCATAGCATAGAATCGCATAGCGCAGCATAGCATATCATAGCATAGCCTAGCATAGCATAGCACACACATGCGTGTGTCTGTGCGTGTGCGAAGGCAAAGCAAAACCAAGCAAACGCAAACGCAAAAGCAAAGCACAATCAACAGCAACAGCAAAAGCAAAAGCAAAGGCAAAAGCAAAGGCAAGAGCAATAGCAAAGGCAATGCAATGCAAAAAAACAAACCAATGCGAACGTGTAGATGTAGATTCAGATGTAGGTGTAGGTGTAGATGTGGATGTAGGTGTATATGTAGATGTACATGTAGGTGTAGATGTAGATGTGGACGTGAGTGTAGTTGTAGATGTAGATGCAGATGTAGATGCATGTGTACATGTAGATGTAACTGTAGGTGTAGATGTGGATGTAGGTCTAGATGTAGTTGTAGGTATTAAGCTGTACTACTACTACTACTACTACTACTACTACTACTACTACTACTACTACTACTACTACTACTACTACTACTACTACTACTACTACGACTGCTACTACTACTACTACTACTACTACTACAACTACAACTACAACTACAACTACAACTACAACTACAACTACTACTACTACTACTACTACTACTACTACTACTACTACTTCTACTACTACTACTTCTACCGCTACTGCTACAACTGCGACTATGAGGAGCAGGAGGAGGACGGCGTTTACCGTTCCTACTAATATTGCTCTCCTCGGGGCTCCAACTCCTAGAAGGGTCGCTCTGGGATAATTGTTATAATGTGTCTTCTTGTTGTTAATATTACCTAGCAGCTTTTGCTGATAGGTTTCTAGTGGGATCAAAAGAGATCATCTTGACGCGCCGAGGGGGTCTGGGCGGGATCCGGAAGCAGGATCCTGACAGATCCGGACAAAAGTGCAGCACCAGGAATCCTTAGGAATTCTTGCAGATTCTTGGGAATCCTTAGGAATCCATTCCCAGAACACCATTCCCATGCCACATTTTGAATGCCCGGAACCAACTATAGGCCACTTCGTGTTCTTCCTGTTCCAAGAACACCATTCCCAGGCCACATTTTGAATGCCCGGAGCCAACTGTAAGCCATTTCGTGTTCTTCGTGTTCCCAGAACCCTATCCCAGGCTACATTTTGAATGCCCGGAGCCAACTGTAGGCCACTTCGTGTTCTTCGTGTTCCCGGAACACCACTCCTGTACCATATTTTGATTGCCCGAAGCCAACTATGGGCCACTTCGTGTTCTTCGTGTTCCCAGAACACCAGTCCTCTGCCATATTTTGAATGCCCGAGCTGAAGCAGGCTGAGGCCGAGGCAGGCTGAGGCCGAGGCAGGCTGAGGCTGAGGCCGAGGCACGCCGAGGCAGGCTGAGGCTGAGGCTGAGGCAGGCAAAGGCTGAGACAGGCTGAGGCTGAGGCTGACGCAGGCTGAGGCCGAGGCAGGCTGAAGTTGAGACTGAGGCAGGCTGAGACTGAGGCTGAGGCAGGCTGAGGCTGAGGCTGAGGCTGATGCAGGCTGAGGCTGAGAGGCTGACGCTGAGGCTGAGGCAGGCTGAGGCTGAGGCTGACGCTGATGCTGAGGCAGGCTGAGGCTGAGACAGGCTGAGGCTGAGGCTGATGCAGGCTGAGGCTGAGGCAGGCTGAGGCTGAGGCTGGGGCAGGCTGAGGCTGAGGCCGAGGCAGGCTCAGGAGGCTGAGGCAGGCTGAGGCTGAGGCAGGCTGAGACTGAGGCTGAGGCAGGCTGAGGCTGAGGCTGAGGCTGATGCAGGCTGGGGCTGAGAGGCTGACGCTGAGGCTGAGGCAGGCTGAGGCTGAGGCTGAGGCTGAGACCGAGGCAGGCTGAAGCTGAGGCTGAGGCAAGTCGAGGCAGGCTGAGGCTGAGGCTGAAGCTGAGACAGGCTGAGGCTGAGGCTGAGGCTGAGGCAGTGGCTGAGGCTGAGGCAAGCTGAGGCTGAGGCAGGCTGAGGCTGAGGCTGATGCAGGCTGAGGCTGAGGCAGGCTGAGGCTGAGGCTGAGGCAGGCAGAGGCTGAGGCTGAGGCTGATGCAGGCTGGGGCTGAGAGGCTGACGCTGAGGCTGAGGCAGGCTGAGGCTGAGGCTGAGGCCGAGGCAGGCTGAGGCTGAGGCTGAGGCAAGCCGAGGCAGGCTGAGGCTGAGGCTGAGGCGGGCTGAGGCTGAGGCTGAAGCTGTGGCTGAGGCTGAGGCAAGCTGCGGCTGCGGCAGGCTGAGGCTGAGGCTGATGCAGGCTGAGGCTGAGGCAGGCTGAGGCAGGCTGAGGCTGAGGCTGAGGCAGGCTGAGGCTGAGGCTGAGGCCGAGGCAGGCTGAGGCTGAGGCCGAGGCAAGCCGAGGTATGCTGAGGCTGAGGCTGAGGCTGAGGCTGAGGCAGGCTGAGGCTGAGACAGGCTGAGGCTGAGGCTGAGGCTGAGGCAGGCTGAGGCTGAGGCAGGATGAGGCTGAGGCCGAGGCAGGCGAATCCTTCGGAATCCTTAGGAATCCCTAGGAATCAGGATTCCTAAGGATTCCTAAGGTTTCCTAAGGATTCCTATGCATTCCTAAGGATGTTTCAGGATGCCTTAGGAATCCCTAGGAATCCTTCGGATTCCATTGGATCCTAAGGCCGTTGCCACTGCGACTGTCATTGCGAATGCGACTGCGACTGCGAGAACAGCAGAATTCTACAACTGGATTTTCACCTGAATCTTAAGGGGAATGCTTCCAGATATGTTTATTAGAACCACGCGCGCGCTTCGCGCGCGCTTAGGTTCTAGCTAGGAAGCGAGCTTGAGTCAACGAAAGTCGCAGGGAAGGGGGCAGGGGGAAGAAGGCCAGAGAGCGCTGAAGGATACAAATACTGGAACCCTCTTGTGATTTTGTGGGGGGCCTCGTCCGGCCGCTCGCTGGGAGTTTCACGTAGCTTCTCGGGAGCCTCTGAACCTGTCGGGGGCCTCCTGGAAGCAGGTTCGAAGCATTTTGGGGGCCGATTTGGGGCTTCTCGGGGCCTCCTTTGGGCCTCTTGGGGGTCTCCTGGGGCCTCTTGAGGGGCCTCCTTGGGGCCTCCTGGCGGCCTCTTGGGGCGGAAGGCTCGAGCTTGCGGTTCGTGGTCCCCCTCTGGGCCCCCTCTTGGGCCCGTCTTGGGGCCCTCTTGGGCCATCTTGGGCGCCTCTTGGGCCGTCTTGGGGCCCTCTTGGAAGCTTCTTGGGCCGTCTTGGGGCGGTCTTGGAGGCCTATTTTTGCTTCTTGGGCCTCTCTTGGGCTGCCTCTCGTAGCGTCTTGGAGGCTTCTGGGACCTTCTTGGTGTCATGACAGGCGTCTTGGAATGGCACGATTTTTGTTTTTTGGACCTCTCTTGGGGTGCCTCTCGGAACGTCTTGGGCTGATTTTGGAAGCCTTTTGGCGCCTCTGGGCGGTGTTTTGGCGCCTCCTGGGATATGTTGGGCCGGAAGCTCGGAATTCGAGAGTGGCTTTCTCCTTCTGGGACCCCTCTCGAAGTCGTCTTGGGGTTCTCTTGGGCCGTCTTGGGGCCGTCCTGAGCCACTCGTGCGCAGCCTTGGAGCGCTCCCGGAGGCCTCCTAGGCCGTCTTGGAGGCCTCTTGGGCCGTCTTGGACGCGGTGAAAGCCCAAGATGCGAACATGCGAAAAATATACGCTTTCCCATAGGAATGGCACGATTTTTGTTTCTTGGACCTCTCTTGGGGTGCCTCTCGGAACGTCTTGGGGTGCTTTTGGGAGCCTTTTGGCGCCTCTTGGCGGCATTTTGGCGCCTCCTGGAGCCTCTTGGGCCGGAAGCTCGGAATTCGAGGTTGGCTTTCTCCGTCTGGGACCCCTCTCGGAACTCGTCTTGGGGCTCTCTTCGGCCGTCTTGGGGCCGTCCTGGGCCACTCGTGCGCAGCCTTGGAGCGCTCCCGGAGGCCTCGTAGACCGTCTTGGGCGCCTCTTGGGCCGTCTTGGACGCGGTGAAAGCCCAAGAGGCGAACATGCGAAAAATATACGTTTTCCCATAGGAATGGCACGATTTTTGCTTCTTGGGCCTCTCTTGGGCTGCCTCTCGGAGCGTCTTGGAGGCTTCTGGGACCTTCTTGGTGTCATGACAGGCGTCTTGGAAGGCATCTGGAGCCATCGGAGCGCGTTCCGAAGCCGCCTGCGAACGATCTTGGACGGCATCCGGCGGTCCGACGAGCCTCCGGGCCCCCCGGGGCCCACATTTGTGGTCGAGGTCCCGTCCCCGGGCCCCCGGACCCGGTGCGCCGTTATATGTATATATACATCGCTGTTAGGTTGCTTGCCGGGATAATGAATTGTATTATTCTTACCATTAGTATCATGAGTATTGTTATTATTCCTCCTCCTCCTCCTCCTCCTCCTCCTCCTCCTCCTCCTCCTCCTCTTCTTGTTCTTCGAGCACCTGCCCGCGCCGTTCAGCAGCTCCTCCAGGTCCAGCAGGCAGAGGCCGAACGACTCCGGCAGCACCCCGTGGCCGGGCCGCGGCCAGACCGCCCCGCGCGGCCGCGACAGCGCGAGCAGGGGCGCGCCCTCGCCTCCGCCACCAGCGCCCTCACCCTCCGCCGCGCCTTCGCCCTCTGCCGCCGCAGCGCGGCCCCCGCGGCCGCCGGCGGCGAGCCGGGGCGCGCCCTCGCCTCCACCACGGCCGCCCTCATCCGCCAGCCCGTCCCCGCGGGCGGCGGACCGCTTCTCTGGCAGCGGGCCCTCGCGCTGGCCGACGCGCACGATGACGCACGCCACCTCCCCGAGCTCCAGCAGCACCCGTCCTGGGACTGGCCCGAAGAAGTCCACGGCGTCCCCCCGTCCCGGCACCGCACGGTACAGCGGCGCGAGCGCCGCGGCGGCCGCCTCCAGAGCTGCCGGGGGCCCGCCGGGCCCGCCGACCGCCAGGGCCGCCTCTGGCGACCAGTGCAGCGCCCCGCCGGAGGCGGCCACCGCTCGCGCCGCGAAGGCGGAGGCGGCGGAGGCGAACGCGCCGGGGATGGCCTCCCGGACTCGCTGGTTGAAGGGGTGGCTCTCGACGATGGACTCGCGGGAGGAGGGCACGCGCCAGTCTGCCTGGGTGATGAACTTCAGCCCGTAGCGCCGGAGCGGCAGCCAGGCGAAGGCTTCCTGCTGGGGCGCCTCGCCCGCGGGGGTGTCGAGGCAGAAAGCCAGCTTGAGCTCAGCCTTCGCGGGCTGCGCGTAGTCCCCCCCGGTGGGAGCGTCGAGCGCTGTCGTGTGCACCAACCACCGCTGCACCCAGTGGCGCTGCTGGCTGGCTGCGCGCGGCGCGCGGCCCGACCCATCGGCCCCAGACTCGAGGGTTGTCAGCTCCACTTCCTGGCAATCCTGGCACCCGTGCTCCCTCAGGCGGGTGACTCGGCGAAACATGTCCCTGCTCAGGCCCGTCTCGTGGTCCCTGACCTTGATCATCTCGAGGCGGCGCAGGAACAGCAGCAGCGCGGGCTGCACGTCGCGCAGCGCCCGCCTGGCCACGTCCTTCGCGCCGAGGCGGCGCCTCCGCAGTGGCCCGCGGCTGGTCCGCAGCGGCATCACCAGCCGCGTGCCTCTGCTTGGCGTTTCGGGCGCCGACAATGGAAACGGTAGCAGCGAGCCGAGCCCGTTGAGCGCGTCGGCATCGAAGAGGAAATTGAAGGGGCCCGAGTGCAGCACTGGCGTAGAAGTCACCAGAAACACAGACTTGAACCCGATTCCCTTCGCGCCGATAAAGCGTTTGTCAGTAGCCAGCTTGGTGGACTGGTCGATGTCGCAGATGGCTCGCACGTTCTCCTCTGTAAAGCCCACCTCGTTGTGTTCGAAGATCAGCAGCGCATCCGCCTCGTCTCGTGCGCCGCGGTGGGCTGCGAGCGATGTCAACTGTCCGAAGCGCTCCTGACGACATTCGTAGGTGAGGCGGAGTTCGGGAGTGGAGCCCTCTGGGTAGCTGCAGTCGTCCACATTCTGGATGAGCTCTAGCAGGTAGTGGGCATCCCCGCTGTACAAGTCCTCAGATAACCTCCTCACTGCGCCCTGCACCGTTGCATGCAAAGAGCGGATGCCATCGTCTGCCGGCTCTCGTAGCCACGACCGGGTCACCAGGTCCACGTCGAAGAGGTCGACCTTCTTGAGCCGCGCGATGTCTCCGCACACGCGCGCGTTCTGCTGCTCGGGAGAGCCCTGTGCGCCAGCCGCCTCTCCGACATCCCCTGGCAGCTCGGCGCGCCACCCAGAACGGGCGGCGGCGCCCGCGCCCCGTCCGCCCCGCTCGGCGACGCCGTCTGCGGCCGGCTCCGCGGCGACGGCGGCGGGCGGAGCCGAGGCCGCCCCCGCCGCGCCGCCCTTCCCCAAGGCCCCCGCCGGCTCTGCCGCCGCGGCCTCCGGCCCAGCCTCGGAGGGCCCCGCGGCCACGAGCTCTGCCGCCGCCGTCGCCCCCGGTGCGCCCCAGGGCGGCTTGGACCACTCGGACACGCCGAAGCAGCGCCCGAGGCGGCCGAGGGCCGCGGCCGCGGGCGCGGCGGCCAAGGGCTCTGCCGCGGCCACGGTCGCCGCCGCGTCCGCGAGGGCCTGCCGCGGTCGCTGCAGGGCCACGTAGCCCGAGCCGAGCGCCCGGAGCACGCTCGCGGGCGTTTCCCTCGGCAGCGCAGCGGTGGCCCGCAGCAGGAAGAGCTCGGCCTGCAAAGGCGCGCCCTCTCCGTCCGACGCCCACGCGCCGTACTGGCGGCCCGCCGCCGACTGCAGCGCGTCCGACGGCGGGCTCTCCTCGAGGAAGAGGGCCAGCAATACGGCCGCGGCGCGGCGCGCGTCGTACTCCCGCATGGCCTCCTCGAAGGACGACAGGCTGCAGTCCCCAGGCGCGGGCAGCCTCACGAAGGAGCCGCGCCGCACCTCCACGACGCGGATGGCGCCGCCGCCGCCCGCGGCCGCGAACGCGCCCGACCGCAGGAAATCGGGCAGGCTGCCGAGCGCCCGCCCGAAGTCGGCAGGCCAGAGGGGCAGCGCCTCGCCCAGATCCAGCAGGGGCGGCACCGACCGCAGCGCGGCCGCGGCCTCTGCCGCGAGCGCGGGGTCGCCACCTGGCGCCTCGCGCGGCGGCTCCGTCTCGAGGGCGTCGTGCAGCCCACGAGCCGCCAGCACGGCGGCCAGCTGCACCACGGGGCAGGCGCGCCCTGGCGGGGCGCCCGGCGTCTCCGCCCGCGCCGCGGCCACCGCCCCTCGCAGGTCGCGGGGCGCCAGCAACGCGCCGAAGTGGCTGCTGGCCGCTCGGGCCACGAGGCGCTCCTCGGCCCCGGCGGCGGCCAGCTTCGCGCAGAGCCTCGCCACGTCGCCCTCGAGGCCCGGGAAGCTCCCGGCGCGCCCAGCAGCATCCGCGAGCTTGCCGCTCTGCTGCGCCACGAAAGCGCCGTAGCTGCAGTCCAGGCCCACCTGGGTCCATTGAGGCACCCCCAGCCGGCGGCACAGCGCCTCCTCCCCGCGGCCCACCGCCAGCAGCAGCGCTCCGGGGGACCCTGCAGGCGCGTCCGCCTCGCCAAGGGCGGCTCGGCGCACGATCTCGACCAGCTCCCTGGCAAGCCTCTCTCGCAGCTGCTCCGGACTCTCACCGGCTCCGCCGCGCTCTGGTTGCCCCAGCGCGCCCTCGCCATCCCCGCCAACCTCGGCCTCGCCCTCCACCTTGCCATGAACCGAAGGGCCCTGAGCTCAGGAAGAGGGGTCCTGCAGCCCTGAGGCTTCCCCGGAGCCGTGTAGCACGCCCCAGACCCCTGCAACCTTTCCTGGAATCTTCCAGAAATCCCCAGGGCCCAGGACCCTCTTCCTATCAGGGAACCCTGTCTCACGACGGCCACCGCCGAGCGCGGAGCCGCCTCGGCCGCGACCACCTCGGCCGCGACCTCGACATACATACATACATACATGCATGCATGCATGCATGCATGCATACATACATACATACATACAGATACATACATACACGTATATATATATATGTGTATGTAAGTATAAGAAATGTTTTCTACGTTGTGCAATATAGTTGGTGCAATCTATCTGGTACAATCAAAGTAAATCAACGGACTGCAAGCCAATGCAAAGCAGGACAAAGCAACGCAAAGCAACGCAAAGCACTGCAAAGCACTGCACAGCAATGCAAAGCAATGCCATGCAAAGCACCGCAAAGTAACGCAAAGCAAGGCAAAGCAACACTATGCAAAGCAATGCCATGCAAAGCAGTGCAAAGCAAGGCCAAGCAACGCAATGCAAAGCAGTGCAAAACAATGCAACGACGAGGCGGCGACGGGGCGGAGACGGCGAGCACGGAGACGCCAGACCAGCACGCAGATCCAGACGACGGGCGGCGGCGAGGCGGCAACGGGGCGGCGACGGCGAGCACGGAGCCGCCAGACCAGCCCGCAGGCCCAGTGCCTGGGAGAGAAGAAATAAGAACGCCTAAGTACAAGCACTGTTTGAAGAGAGAATGTCAGGATGGAATTGTTTGCTGGGGCGCCGAAGCGAACTGGTGGAAAGCCTGCCCCTGTGACAGGCTGGTCGCAGACCGAAGCCTGCACGGGGCAACGCGTCCCCAGACGTCTCCTCGCTACCGAAGTTCGACCCCCCCTGGTCGCGGCCGAGGGACGGAGAAGGTCGGGCGCGGGATCGCGCCGCGTCGCTGGTGCACTGGCGACGCGGCGCGAACGCCCCCCGAGCCCATCCACTCTGGCGGCCCCTGCTTGGGCGGCCCGGAGAACCCCCGGACGCCTGGGCGATCGTGAACGACAGCTGGGTCCTCCTGCCCCCTGTGGCCTCCTCCTCCTCCTCTCCCTCCCGAGGCGCGCCGACCTGCCCTGCCTCCGCGGAGCGCGCCGACGGGAACCCGACGAGCCGGTAGAAGATGCCGTCGACGTACGCGCGGACCTGCTTGGCCATCCTGTCCGGCCTCGAGCCCTGGGATTGGCGGCGCGCACAGGGGAGGTTTAGACAAGGTCGTCGACGTCGACGTCGTCGTCTGATGTCCTTGGGCGTTTCTGCGGTTGCTCGTCGCCACCGCTGCGCACGGCTCGGAGATCTGGCCAGGACGGACCGCGGGGCGCGCCCAGGGAATCTTGACCGAAAACGAGTGGAGGGAGGCGGCCTTCTGAGAAGACGGGGGCGTCATTGAAAGGCCTGGAAGCTGCTCATTACTCAGGTCACTCAACTTCGCGCATCGCGCCCCGCAATGTGCGACCCGCACGGATACCTTCGCGCCCTCGCGAGGCCACCCTGGAGAAGGGCAACTCTCCTTCCCGCTCAGCGACGCGCGAATCGGGATTTTCTTCGCGCTTCTGGGGGGGCCATGCTCAAGGGTGCGGCCACGTCACACAATGGTGCCCCTGGCGATGATCAGTACAGTGGTTGCCAGGCCAGCTCGTTGGCGTCGCTGCCGTCACCAGTGAGATTCTTTGATCGTCCTGTCCAACATCTTTCTCAGCGGCAGGGAACAGTTGATCGTTCCCCCGCGTTGTGTTCTCAACCGTCATCTCAGAAGAAGCCCGCTGCCGCTGCCTTCTGAGACAGCCGCCCCCCCCCCCTCGCCCCGATCCTCTTCAGAGCACGCCGCCAACCTGGTGCAGCGCATCTTCCGTGAGCGCCTCTTCGGACGGACCATGCATCATCTCGCCTTTCTTCCTCATCCTGGCCAGGAACTTCCTCTGGGAGCCTCGATCGCTGAGCTCTGCGAGCGCTTCCAGGTACTGAAGTCGGGCATCTGGGCCAGCCAGGGCTGTCCAGTGAGACAATGCCTCCAGCACAGGCAGGGAGCCGCTTTGCAGTAGCATGCTCTTGAGGAGCCTGTTGCGGGCCATCGACGACGGCACCATCTGGTCGATAAAAGAATCCTCCTGTATATAGACCCCCATGGCTCGGAAGTCCTTGAGCCCCCGAGCCAGCGCAATCTTCTCTAGCCTCTGTGCGATACTTACCGCGCGGGGAGCGTATCTGCCTCTGTTTGCTCCCGCATTCCGAATGAGCCTCCCGTCAAACATCTCCCTGATCAGCTCAGGAGCAGAAAGCACTGGGTACTCCCTGGGTATTTCGGGCAACATGTCCAGCCTGAATTGTCTGGCAACCTCCGGGTGGTATTGCAACTTTCCCAGGCAGTGGTCTTCCAGCCGGTCCTTGCCGAAAAAGAGCCTGTGACGCATGATCGCGCACTCCAAGTCATACAGAGTTAGTAGAACTTGGGTCGAAAAGCAAATCAATACAGTTGCATCAATGAGGAGCAGCATCTTTGCGACGCCTGCAACCATCGCCCCTACAAATGGATCAGCGAAGAGCTCGTCCTCTGTAATCCTCCTGTCCTTGCAGGTCGCTTCAATCAGCCCGCGGACATAGTCAGCTCTCAGGAACCCATGCTCTCGAATATACCGGTCAAATGCAGCAGCCAGCGTTGCCGTGTCGGTAGCGCAGGAGACACGCCCCAGCACTCCTCGACCTGAAGACAGGCCGTCGTACTGAAGCGCGTATTGCGCCAAGCTGTGGACGATGAGCGGTGGATTGGTGGTGGGGGTACCCCTTCCATCTCCTTCGCCTCCTCCTCCTCCTCCTTCCCCACTCGGGGCCGCGTCGCTGCCTGCTTCATCTTCATCTTCGCCGCACTCGCTGCCATCCTGCTCTTCCGCTTCCACCGTATCGGTGCCTCTGTCCTTCGCCGGCCCCTCCTCACGATTGTCCACGGCCTCCACCACCCGCACGTCATATCTCCACCCGAGCTTAAAGACATCCTTCCGGCGATTCAAGGATGGGTCCCTGAGGAATGGAGCCCTCTGAACGAGTGGCCTCGAAAAGTGAAAATTCAGCTTGAGAGCCTCTTCCTATTCTAAGGGCCCCTTCCCTCGGCACCCCGTCTTTGAACCGCAGATCCTTGCGCCGTGCCATCCAGGACTCCAGAAACATGCTCGACGCCTCTCTGGGGTACTTTGTCGAGAACTCCCTGCAGAGCAGCCGGACGCTCACCTGCCTGGGAGGCCGACCCTGCACCAGCGCCGACCCTGGCCAGGCCGATCCTGGGCTCAGGGCCGCCCTCAGCGGGCAGAAGCTCTGATTGGCTGACGGGAGCAGAAGGGGGGTTAAAGGCAATGCGCTCGTCACCAGACACGCCCACGGATCGAGGGGGCAGGCGAGGGAAGTCGGGGAAGTCAGCATCGCCCTCCCAGCCTGGCCAGAGACCCCCCCCCCTCACGGGGACTCCGCTGACGGGCGGTTTGGCCACCGAAGCGGACAGCGCTGCAACGCCAGAACGAATAGTCCCCAAAGCGGTAGACTCTGGCGGGCCTCCGAAGCACCCGTCAGTGAGTGCCCACTACGGTGCCGCCGAAGGGAGGCACCCGCGCCCACCCCTAGGCCCAGAATCGGCTGGCCAAGGCCGGCGTCGGCGCACAGCCGGCGGCGCCGCCCGCGACTCCCAAATCCGCCAAAAACGGCCCCCCTTCTAGGATCGTCTCCCGCGGAGCCCCGCGGAGTCCAATCCCGGCCCCTTGTTCCGAGCCGCGCCCGGCCGCGGCGACGGGGGGGGGGGGCCGCGACGCCTGCGAGGCGAGGAAGGGGGGCTGACAGCTGGCGCCCCTCCCACCACCCCCGGTCGCCTGCCCTTCATCAGCTCCGTCAGCGCCCTGACTCTGCCCGCCTCGCTGGTGGAACAGAATGGTCGACTCCCCGGAACTGGCCTGGTTTTTAAAGTGAAAGGAACAAACAAATCCTGGAGGGAAGAGGCCCTCATGCTTTTCGCCGTTTTCGGGCCCCTGGGGCCCTCCACGAGCCCCAGGACCGTAACAAAGACGACTCCGGATGACAAGCTGCCCCAGGATCTAGGACCCGTCCATCTCGCAGCCTCCCAAGGAAACTAAGGCGCACACAATACTCGATCCTCGATCCTCGAACCTCGACCCTTCCTCTCCATTAAAATTTCCCCCCCAAATCCTCCCCTGGACCCCTCCTCGGGTCCTCCCTGGACCATTGGTTTCTCACCATGGCTGGAAACGGATCCCAAGACGCCAAAGTGGCTCAAAACCTGCATCCTCGAAGCTCGAACCTCAGTAGTCATTCGATGCCCGCCTCGCTGAGGACCGCCCCGGCGGGAGGCGCGTCCATCCCGCGCGCCTCCACCTCCTCGCGGTAGCCCGCCTCCTGTCCCGGGTTGCCAGACGTGCTCCCGGCACAGGGTGCCCCTGGCTCTCGGCGGCGACGAGAGGGGCGAATAGCCCAGGGGCGGGCGTTACACGCATTCGCCCGGGAGCCTTGTGGAAGACATAGATCATCGGCGCCCCAGGATACGTGTATTGCTCCCCCCCGGGCTATTCGCCCCCATCGTCGCCTCTGAGGCTCCCCCGCGCCACGAGCACCCCTGGGCTCCCCGGCGCCTTCCCGGCGGCCCTCGGAGGCCTTCGGCGGCCCGCGGTGGGGGAGGCCCTCGGCGGCCTTCGGGGACTCGGGCCGCCGCGGGACCCCTTGCCGGCCCAGGCCCGGAGGAGCCCGTCGCGGGGCGCGCCAGGCGCGGTCGCCACGCCGCGGGCCCTGGGGGGGGAGGAGTGGTCTGGAGGACCTTCGCCTTCCAGAGTGGAAGTTCTCGATTCCCTGGACGGGCCAGGGACAGGTTAGCCAGCGTGGGCCCAAAACAAAGGACTCTTGGATCCTGGATGTGCAACATTTGGTAGCACGACCCGCGTATTGCGCGACCTACACGTTGATTGAAATCTGCATGGCGCAACTTACGCGGTGCAAATATGTGGCGCAGTTGACAGTTGAAGAACCTGGAATCGGCAGCTCCAGTGCTCGAGGAAACATCACACCTGCCCATCCCACCCACACCCACAAAACTCAACTGGCGCAATGACGCGAGGACCCTTGTCATGCAGATCCATGACTCGGGCGGGCGAGTGATGATGAGGACGACGAAATTGGCGACGACGAAGTTGATGGTGATGAAGATAGAGATCGTGATGGCGATGCTGGTGATACAGATGACGACGACGACGACGACGACGACGACGACGACGACGACGACGACGACGATGATGATGATGATGATGACGATGATGATGATGATGAGGTCTGAGGGTCCCTGGTGGCCAGACGATTCTTTACAGCGAAGCTGTGCGAATGGATCTGTTGTGTGCAAGCTCGAGCTTCGAAACACGGAGCGGCTCTCGGACCGCTCACAACGACCCCTGAGAAATTAATTAAAGCGCAGGGTGGCACGAGGGCGGGTGCGCTTGAATGGTTGCGGAGCAAGAACGGCCATGGGACGGATCGAACTCAGACCAGGACGACACAAACATCTGGCTAGGTCTGAGGGTCCCTGGTGGCCAGACGATTCTTTACAGCGAAGCTGTGCGAATGGATCTGTTGTGTGCAAGCTCGAGCTTCGAAACACGGAGCGGCTCTCGGACCGCTCACAACGACCCTGCTGTGCCCTACCTGGCATCTGGCCGCTTCATGCCTAGAAAGAGTCTGCTGAGGAACCCTTCCGAAAGCCTCGAGGCTCCAGAGGAAATCCAAGAGCACACCCAAGACGCGCACGGACGAGACAGGTGAGTAAAAGGCGATGGGGTGGGCGGGGTCGCGTGAGCGTGGAGGCACGGACCGCCGACTTCGTCGGGGAGCCCACACGAGAACCCCAGAGCCCACATGTTGTCGTGGTTAGCTCGTTGGCAGCCAAAAGTGCATGGGGAGATCCTCGAATGCCTCCCGTCACAAATGGTGAGCAGCTGTCTAAAAAGAACGGAGTGCGCGGAAGCGCTTGCTGATGGGAAAATAGCAATGCAAGGACACTTGACAGTCAGGCATTTGTGAAGAAGACGGGCTAGAATATTGCTAGCGTCAGTCTCACCGAATCTGGGCCAAATCAAGACGACTCCCCGAACACAGCGAGACGAGATCCATCCCACGAGGCGGCGGTACACGATGGCGGTAGCCAGCAGGGAGCCGTTTATCCAAGCACTGCAGCCCGAGAGACGGGCGTCGTCGGCCCGTGCGATCTCGCCCGTGCCGAAGCCGACTGCGAGGAGGGTCTGGCCAGCGGCAGCACGGCACGCGCGGGCGAGGGCCTGCAAGGCCTGTCGAACGCCAGCGCCTCCACCTTGAGAAAGCGAGGAAGCCGTGGCCGCCGCTGCTGGCCGAGGATCTGGCCTATGCTGTCCTCGACCTCCTGGGCCCACTCCGACACCTCGGCGTCGACCTTCTCGAGCTCCGCGAGGTAGCGCACGTGCCGTGAGTACCGAGCCGTGCTCTGCGCACTCGTGTGGCGCAGACGCGCCTGCAGCTCGGCCAGGGGCATGCCCTCGACCGCCGTGGCGTGCGACGCTGCAGAGTGCCGCATCTGGTGCGGGATCATGTCGGGCGCGCCTGGGACCAGCGACAGCCGTCGTCGGAACTCGGCACCGAAGGTCGCTGCGCTGAACGACCACAGGGGCGACCCAGCGGGCCGTGCCGCGCGGAGCAGCTTCAGGAAGTTCCCGCCTCCGCCACGCCAGGCCGCGCTCCGCAGCAGCACGCCCTCGCCCTGCGCGAGCGACTTGCTGCAGGCTGATCCCTCGATCGGGTACAGCAACAGCGCCCAGCGGGGCTCCGCATCGCGGCCTGGGCCCACCAGCGTGTCGACCGTCATGCCGACGAGGTCGCTCGGGAGGCGGATCATCGCGTCCCATGCGAGCGCGACCGCCCCCGCCCACTCGAAGTCCCCCTCGAGCGCGGCGATCCCGATCAGCGCCCAGACGATCGGCTTCCCGACGGGCGTCATCGGGGTGCTCCTCGAGTGCACTCGAAAGCCAGAGAGCGCGGCCCGCGCCAGCGGAAGGCCGCCGTGCCTCGGTCGCGGCACGCGCGGCAGCCTGTATTGCACGGACGCCAGCAGCCGCGAGCCCGTCTCCGCCAGCTCCCCCTCCCAGAACAGCTTGTCCAAGTAGGCCGCCAGGAGGACGTCCAGGCGGTCCGCCGTGATGTCGTCCAGCGACGGCGCGGCGGCCCAGGCCAGGAAGCTGGTCACGTGGTTGTCGAAGCTGCGGATGGTGGCCTCCCGCACCTTGTGCCTCTGCAAGAAGGTCAGCCCATGCCGAGGGTCGCAGTTGGCTCCGCCGAACTTCATGACTCTGAGCTTCGCCCGATTTGCCTTCTGACGTGCCAACTCGACACGACCCGCCGCCTTCGACCGAGCTGGAGCCCGAGCTCCAGGCTTCGCGCTCGGAGGAGGTGTCTTGATCTTCCCGGCCTTCCGAGGAGCGCGAGCTCGCTGCGGTCGTGGTGGCGGCGGCGGCCTCCTCCTCGGGGTCGCACAAGTCGTGTCGCCGACGTCGGAGCAGGCCGATAGGATCGTCGTAGTGGAGACGGCGAGCCTTCTCGTCAGCGGCCGCCCGAGCGAGGCTAGCCCAGGCCGTGCCAACATTCCGCGGGTCGGTTGCAAAGGGAGTCGGCTGGCCCGTCACGGTGCGTGAGCCTTTGTCTGAGGTGTTCCACTCCGAAGGTAGCCATCTCACGGCTACGGACATGTCATGAATGACGCTGTAGCTGCACAACTCTCTGCAGGTCTGATTGATCAAAGGGGATGCGGACCGACCTTTTTCCACTCCCAGTACCAGAGAAAGGTTATCATTAAGCATGAGGTGAAGATGACCCCGAGACCGCAGGGCGCGCATCTTGTGGCGCACGCCCAGCGCGAGGGCACGCCCCTCGAGCCTCAGGATGTTCTCCTCGCGGCACCAGCGGCCGAAGGTCACGTTCCGCCAGGTCTCCATCGGGAAGACGACGTCCGAGCTCACAGTGGCAAAGGACATCCCGTCGAATGGAGCCTCCGAGGTGTCGCGAGCGGCAAAGGCGAACTCCCGAGCGTGCAGGGCCCCCTCCACGTGGTACCGCCACCGCTCGCGAACCCGAGCTGTCTCCAACACCAGCTGCTGGCCGAGCTCCCGCTTGGTGACCCCGTAGCCGCCATACAAGCTGCCCGCGGGGTCGAGGTCGCCCGTGCTAGCGTCGGTGGAGTAGACCGTCGAGTCCACGGGCCGCTTCGCATCGTAGTAGGCGAAGGGCACGAGAGCGGCGGCGACTCGCAGCTCGCGAATCACCTCGGGCCATCTCCTCCAGCGGTTGTCACCCGCCTTCTTGATGAACCGATACGTCGACTGGAAGATGCACAGGAGTGGTCGGCGGAGAAGGGCCGCCCAGTTGAAGTGTCCGACCAGGCTGGCCAGCTCCTTTCCCGTGGCGTAACGCTGGGATGCCTGGCACAGCAGCGCCTGGCGGATCTTCCACATCCGCGATCGGCCCAGCGATATCCTTCCAGACTCTCTGTCAAAGATCAGACCTGTGAACTTCTGGTGCTCGCTCGGCAGCTCCATCTCCTTGCACTTGAGGCCCGCCGTGTTGAAAGCGCCGTACACCGTCTCCAGCTGAGAGACCACCTCGTCGTACTTGGAGCCGATCACGGCGACGCCGTCGACGTAGGCGGCGGCGACGGTCTCGCCCTCGAGGTCGGGAATCACCTTCCTCTCGTGAACGAGCCTGTGGTCACCGATGCCTACCGTCCTCAGCATACCCTCAACGGCGTGCTGGCAGAAGAACAAGCTCCAGTTCCAGCCCATGGGCAGCACCTTCAGACAAGGCGAACACCTGCGGCCGACGATGCCGTCGAGAGTGCCGCTCGGCAGCACGTTGGCAAGAGCACCGCGATCGATACTCGGAAGAACCATCAGCTCGCTCAGACCAGGCGGTGCAAGGAAGCGATAGAAGGCTGCCTCGATGTCACACTGACCGAGGAAGAGGCTGCTGTCGGCCCCGAGCCGTAGGCTCTGCCAGCTGCCTGCCGTCGGCAGCTCGGCGACGTCGGGGTCATAAAACATACGATTGACACGCCGGGTGTCCAGAACCATCCGCTGCTGGCCGCTCCCGTCCCGCTTGGCGACGAAGAACGGCGCGAGCGTGTGCTTGCGCTCGCTGGTGAATTCGATCATGCCCGCATTGAACAAATCGTGCAAAAAACTGGCGTAGAGCTTCGGCGAGCTCTTCAACCTGGCGTCGAAGTGAGGTGGTACATTGGCAAGCCACTCCTTACGAGGGCGCAAGAGATGCTTCTCCCAGTCCTGCCACAAGTCGCGCACGGACTCCGACAACAGGTAGGCGGGCTCGCACTTCCTGGAGTCCGAAGGCACCGCGACGCTCCCTTCGGTGAACAGAACCGCTTTCGCTGGGGACATGTCGTACCCAGGAGAACAACCACGCAGCTCAGTGTAGGCCGCCGTGAGACTGACATCAGGAGGCCCGAACTCCAACAAGTGGCCGTAGAGCGACTCGATGCCAGTGAGCTGCGCCACCGATAGCTTGTCGAACCCGTCGCCGCCCAGGCGCCCGTTGAGGAAGTTGAGCGCCGCGACGACCTCGCAGGTCCACAGCTCGACGGCCAGCTGCTGGCGGCCCCGACTCCGCCGACCTCGGGAATTTGAAAAACATGCATTGTGGTTGCGCCGCTCGAAGTGCGCAGTCGCCAGGTCCAGCGGGATCGGGAGGATGTCCCGCTGGACCACCATGATCGTGAAGTGCAAGGGAGCGTCAGCCCCCCTCCCCGCCAGCGGCGGCACCTCCACGGCCCTTTCCCTTAGGGTCCGACTTGGGTCCACCCGCCAACTGCTTCTTCAACTTCTCGATCTCCGACTTCTGCCGATCGACGGTGCTCTGCATCCCTGAGAGACGCGCCCGCCCGTCACCGCCGCCACCACCACCGTGTACGTCGTCCCCCCGCGAGGCCATCCGCTCCTCCTTCAACTTCCGCCGCTCCTTGAGGACGAGGCTCTCCTTGTGGAGCTCGTCCGTCACGAACGTGAGCAGCCTCGGCGAGATGCAGACCAGCCCGCGGGTCTCGCCCGTCCCGAGGTACAGGTGCGAGTCCTCGAGCAGCTCGTCACCTCGGGACGTCGTGAGAATCCTCTCGCGATGGCGGTACTCGGCCATCTGGAGTCGGCGGCACACCAGCTCCGCACACGACAGCTCGCTGCCATTGAGCTGATCGTACGTTAGCAGCAGGTGCATGATGCGGCAGCAGAGCTCGTGGACGGAGACGTCCTGGTCCGAGGATGACAGCCCCGTCTCCGCCTTGAACTTGGCGTGCCGAGATCTGAATGTCACGTCATTCTCTCGCACGAACTCACGCACCCACTTCACGGTGCGGGGTCCACTGATCGGGAAGAAGTCCCAGTGCGTCTCGGTGAGCTCCGCCACGGCCTCACGCATCCCGAGGAAACGCTCCGTGGCGTTGGCCCGCAGCGCGAGCACGCGCGCGTCGAGCTCGTCGCCACCGTCAGGAGGGAGAGCCCGCACCAACATCGTGCGGCCCCCCTTCATCGCCATGCCGAACCCCGACGCGAGCACGAAGGCGTCGAGATCCTCGTCGGGCAGCAGCCCCTTTCCCCCACCGTCGCTCGAGGCGATGCAGCGCCAACGCGACGGCGAGGGGTCAGGGAGGCGTCCGCGGCCGAGGCCCCACTCAGTCGGAATCTCCGCCGAGGCCAAGGCCGATCCTGAAGGCGGTCTCGCCGCCGCTGGCCTCGCCTCCGCCTCGGGCTCCTCGGGGGCTCCAGCCGACACCACCGCCGTCTCCAGCACCTCGTCGAGCGATTGCCCCAAGACGAACCGCAACTGCAGCGCGAAGGCCGCGGGGCTCATGACCCAGTCCCTGCCGTACGTGCCGACGCCCACCGGGTTGGCCCCTTCTCTGTTGAGCAGCTGCCTCCGATCCCTCATGTCGTATGGCACGATGATGCGCAGCGCCTGGACCGTCAGCTCGTGAGGGTAGACGTCTCCGTCGGGCGTCGCCATATACCATAACCTCCCGTCCTCCTCGGCTTTCTCGCTCGGAGCTAGACTCGTCACTTCCTGATAGTCGGTCGGCGTGCACGGCGCGACGGCGACGCGAGCTTGCAGGCTCTCGCCACCGCGCCACTGGATGTCGAACCGCTGTCCTGCACGAACTTGGAACGGCATAGCGTCCAATGAACACCCCGAAGAGGAACGATGCAATGGAGAGCAGAGCCGCTCCCCACTTCAGCGAGCCGACCAAGCCGTACGCGACCGCACACTCGGTCGCGTTGCCGAGGGTGCTCTCCACGATACCCCAGGCCTTGTCAGACACGATCCAGGAGCCGACACGGGCGAGGCCGACCGCCACGGCGGACAGAGGCATGAAGCGGCCGCTGTCTTTGTTTGCGCTTGAATGGTTGCGGAGCAAGAACGGCCATGGGACGGATCGAACTCAGACCAGGACGACACAAACATCTGGCTATGATGATGAGAATGACGATGAAGATGATTATGAAACTGATTATGATGATGATGGTGATGATGATGCTGATAACGATGGTGATGATTAAGATGAAGATGATGGTGATGATGATGACGACGACGATGTTGATGATGATGATTATGGTGATGCTGATGATGTTGCTGCTGAGGATTATGGTGGTGATGATGCTGCTGCTGAGGAGTATAGTGACGGCGATGCAGATGACGACGAAGTTGGTGATGGTGCTGAAGATGATCTGTATGGGATGCCACATTAATAACACAAACAACGGTGTGGTGCAAGCTGTGTGGTGCAAGCGATGTGGTACAACCCACGTGTTTCAATAGATGGGGTCCAGTCTATGTGGCGCAATCCCACCAACCTTCTGGGCTGAGGTCGTCTAGGGCGCTTCCTCTTCTTCCCCCCGTCTTCCCCTTCGGCCCTCACCGAGAGCGGGCCCTGTCAGAGGGTCCTTGTTGACCCAAGATGGCTCCAGGAGGGCACCAGACAGCCCAAGTCGGCCTCCAAGATGGCCCAGGATATCCCAAGATGGCTCCAGATGGCCCTCACCATGCTTCCAAGAGGCCCCAAGGTCCTCCCGCCACGGAGCCTCTCAAGGATGCCCTCCAGCGAACAAGATCCGTCCAAAACCTTACGCAAGCCCAATGATCTTTGCACTGTCGCCTTTTCGCTCCCGATGAGCTTTCGAGGCACCAAGGTGACTTCAAGATGGCGCAAAGGACCCCCAGGAGGGGCCCAAGGGGGCTCCAAAAACGCCCCAAGAGCACCCAAGAGCACCCCAGGAGGCGACGGTCGGGCTCAAGAGAGGCGACCCTGCTTAAGACATATTGAGACCTCCCGCCCCCTTAGATCAATGTTCCCCGAGATGGTTCGAAGCCGGCCCCCAAGGCTTCCAAGAGGACCCCAAGAGGTCTGCCAAGTGCCCCCAAGAGGACCCCAAGTTGGCCCAAGTAAGCGCCAAGAGACTCTTAGATCAACAGATCCGAGAAGATACGTATTTACGGTTGACTCCTCGGTCTGCTCAATCGATCTCAGTGTGATCCCGAGACTCGGTTTGACGGCTGCCCCCCTATTTGTTGCGCTGCTTGCTCCTTACGCTTTCCTGATCCATACAACTCGCCTGGGCATCGTGCCTGGATGGGCTCGTGGGGGCGCGCGAAGCGTTCAGACTTTCTGCGGAGTGCAACCAATGTGTTGTAAGGTATGTTGTCCATGCCATGCGGCGCGTGCGTTCTGTGGTGCAAGATCTTTGCGGGCACAAGCTATCTGGTGCACCTGCCTCTGGAAACGCCAGCCAGCGCAAGCACTGGGCGAACGCCTGGAAACGCAGGCCCCGTAGCCTGCTGGTGAGAGCACCGTTTTGGGAACAACTCAAAGAAAACTGCAGAGACACAGACATAAAAGCTTTCGGAGGTCCGCGCGGATTTGGGTCGGCGCTGGGCGCACCTTCCTGGCTCATCCTCCGCACGCGGACCGCGCCAGGGTGAAGGGGGGGGGGGCCAAGCGCATCTCCAAGAAACCCGCGCTGGCGTCCGAAAGTTTCTGTTTGTGCAGTTCGCAGGAACCCGATGTACCATTTTTCAATACGGCCCCCTCGAAGTCCCGACTTTTTCCCCAAGGGCAGATCTCTCATCCCGAACCGATTTTCGACGGCCTGGGGGCCCGGCGGGGGACTCTGGAAGCCAACGACAGCGAGAAGCATCCACCTTGATTGGTTCAATACCTTTGGCGCCCCACTCGTCACGAAAGCCGAAGTCAGGCCGCCAGCGCCCCCCACCCACGGATGTCATCGTGGCCCTGGGCGGCCGTCCGTCGGCTTGAAGAGACCCGACGCGCCCCGCGGCCGGGCCAGACCCAGCCCACGAGGGGCCGAAGACGGCTGCCAATACTCTGCAGGCCCTGGTTGGGCGACGCTGGTCCTGCCGCGCGAGGATCCTGCGAGCCTCTTCGCCGCCGGCCCAGGCGCGGGCCGCCGCGGAGCCGGGCTCGGGCCGCTCCTCCACCGCGGCCTGCGGCGCGGCCTCGGGCTCCACCTCCCAGCTGCGCTCGACGATTGCCTGTCAGAATCAGGGGGGGCGAAGCCAGAGCGACGCCGACTGCACCCACGCTGCGCTCATCCGAGCCATATCCTTACCCGCCGGCTGGTCGGCTGCGAATGCTCGGGGGGGCCAGGGTAGCGAACAACCCATCGAGGTTGGCGAGAAGGGCCGAAGAGAACAGCGGGAGGAAGAAAAGGCTCGCGCGGCATAGGAGGTTCGAGCACCGAAGCTCGAGGACTCGCTTGGTTTACCACCGCGCTTTCAAAGCGCCGCCCTCGGGCCCTGCAGGGCCGTCAGGGATGGATCCGGGATGAGGAACCGCCCACATGGAAGGGATCGAAACCTCTGGGGCAGAGCGCCTGTGCGCAGGAGGAGCATTAAAGGAACAACCGTGGAAGGACACAAAGAGCAGCGAGCCCCTTCCGAACCCGAACTGTTCCTTAGTTATCTCAGCGTCTCGTCTCGACTGTAAACCAACGGCGGGCGGGCGCAGCCGAGGAGGGGGCAGGACACCCCCGGGCGCCCGCGCCTTCGGTTTCGTCTCCGCCTTCGGCTGGACCCTTGCCGCCCACACGAGGCTGCGATCGGTGCTCCACATGCTGATGTACCCGTACCTGTCAGCTCGCCACTAGGACTTACCCTGGTGGCTGGGACGGGAGGGCTCGCGGAAAAAAACGAGGGGGAACAGCCAACGCCTTTTCAGCTTTAGGTGTGGGTGCGCGCGCATGTGATGCAGAGCAGGAGAGGAGGATACATAAGGAAGAGAGCGAGAGAGAGAGAGAAAAAAAAAACAAACAGAAAAAGAAACAACGCGCGCACACACATACACATTCACACTTGTTGCGTCGGCGGCTGGGTAGAGGGTGACTGCTCTGGCGAATTGGCAACAAGGGACACGCTGTATGCAAATTAAAGCCGCCATGCACGGAAGAGGAAGAGGAACCCTGTCGCGACACACAAACACACACACACTCACACACGCACACACACACACACACGCACGCACACACGCACGCACGCACGCGCGCGCGCACGCACGCACGCACGCACGCACGCACACACACAGAGCACACACACACACACCACACACACACTTTTTGTGTCGGCGGCTAGACAGAGTGACTGCGCTGGTGATGAAGCGCACACACATACACACACACACACGTATGCACACATACACATACACACACAA